GCAGGGTCCTCTTGACCAGAGGCTTTATCTGACACGGACATGCTGCTCAAAAACGGCCCACAGTCGGAATCCTCCTTGGACCTCAACTTGGCTGTGACCTTCCCGTCCTGCGAGTTGAGTGGGTCAAAACTGCAGGCATGAACTGACAGCAAACTTGCAGAAACACTCCCAGCAAGGAACAGCCGAAACCCTCCGAACCGCTGATGAACCTACCCTGGCCGCGAACGGACGTGTGCCCCCAGTCTCCTCCCCCTGCCGACGATGGTGCGCCGGGCGAGCGTCCAAACAGCCGCCCCAACCCAGGATTCTGCTACTGGATGCTACTGATACAGTCGAGACAGCGTGCCATCCGTCCTTGCGTTTCAGTTCCTGACGGCGCAGTCCTTTTGGATCAGCTCCCGCACCCAGACGCCGGATGCCGTCGAGGTCGTGCGTGCAGAGCCTCACACAACCCCCAAGGTTTGTGTCTCGTAAGATCAAGATGACTCCACGCATGCAATAGGTGTCTAGAATCAATCCAATCCATTGTAACAAACTGCATGCTTTCACACGTTGATGCACAAGGATTTGCACCGACAAAGAAGACATCGACATTCAAGAAGGGTTGCCAAACGAACTAGTAGAGCTACTCCGACGCAGGTGACCGATAAGCTAGTTGAGCCTCCGCCGCAGAGTTGTTGGTACTGTTCCACGACGCGGGACATGCTGTCATAGCCCTCAGCAAAGCGCTTGACAACGTTCAGGTAGGGAGCTTTCTTTGTCCACTTCTTGTAGCCATCATCCGATATGTGCAAGCGCCTCGCGTAACTGTGCAGAGTATCAGAAGGCACTTGAGGACAAGCCTCGTTTGCATAACCACCAGTGATCTTGTGTCCACCATTCATCTGATCGAAGAGGCGCTTTGTCTTCCACAAACGCACCAAACACATCACGGAGAAGGAAGAAACTCGATCTTGACGTAATTTCCAAGACACCCCTGAGAGCAGCTTGATTGTCTCCGTGTCCGACTCAGAAAGGGCGTGTTCGTCCAAAGCATCAATCACCAACACTGCTGCGCTGAAACCAGCTTTGCTCAGCCTCTTTAACGCTCCAAGAAGGTGATCAGACAGCTTGTCTGTGGTGGTTTGGAGGTTCGCTGCTAGCTGCAACTTCAGGCTCCCACTCGCTTCCAAGGTTACAAAAGCTGCGGGAACAGGAACAGCCTGGCTTTGCAGGTCTTGAAGTACCGCTGCTGCAACGGTAGACTTCCCCATTCCGGCTTCAGCATAATATGCATGGACACCTGGCACCTTTGTCGTCTGTAGCATGAGCTTGTGATGTTGCGTGTTGCTTTCGTAATGCTCATACTTCTTTGGCAAAGTCCGGCCATACTGCAGAGTCGCCGCGACCAGAGGAAGGCTGTCTGACAAGAAGCACTCAGCAGCCATTATTTCCAGAGCCGGCCAGAGCCCGCATCAGGCTGCCATTCCCATACGAGATTGCCACATTTGAAGACCGCGGGAAGAGTAAACGCTTGCAAAACCCAGCCTAGTAATGCCACAATGACTGCAAATACAGCATACGATGCGCGATTCCACCAGTTCTGTGTAGCTGGTGTAGGCACTGCAGCGGCAGCTGTCGCGCTTGCTTTCGGCAGAGCAACTGTGGGAGTGGGCTGCTGTTTGGTTTCCGGCGCGGCGGGACTCGGAAGCGAAGCTTTCCGTTGGGTTTTCTTCGCCATAGCTCCGCAGCAACTAGACTTCCAGTTATGTTCCACACGAGCCTCCTGAAACGTTTGCATGCAAGCCCATACGTAGTCTCGCTTTCCGGCTATGTTCCACGAAATGCTTATGCAAGCCTACGTATCAATTCCTGTTCAGAAATCGAGGCGACGAAACTCGTGCGAGAACAAACCAAGCAAAATCAAACTCACAAGCTGCCCGTCCACGTTTTGAAAGGTTGGTCGCAGCTTTGCAGGTTTGTTCATGGCTGGCTCAGCTAAGCCTGTATGTCGAAAACAAGCTGGTCTTGAGCCTTTGGAGCGTCATCAAGAGTTCCTGACGCCTCACACAGCGCAGCACAGTCCTTGCGCATCAGCCCGCGAAGGGACGTGTGCCCCCAATCTCCGCCCCCTGCCGACGATGGTGCGCGGGGCGAGCGTCCAAACAGCCGTGCCCCAACCCCGGTTTCAGTTACTGAATGCCAATCATGCAGTTAAGACAGGTTCAGACAGTGCGCCCTTCTTCCTTGCCTCGCCCAGCACAGAGTCCTTGCGGATCAGCT